TGAGAGGATATTAAAAGGAGTAAAAATGTGGGCCTTCGGAATTTAACATTGTAATCAAGTGTTTAAAGGTGTGAACTCTGGGGCCAAATGGCTTAGGTTCTTATTCGAAATCCATCACTCCAGAGCTGTGTGATTTGGGGCAAGATACTTACTTAACCTTTCTGTGTCCCATTCTCCTCCCCTGAAAGAAGAGGCCAATACGAATATTTACATCCTAAAGCTGTGACTTGTTTTTAAATGACACTAATAACTGAAGCACTTCCAGTAGTTTCTGGCACATAGTACTCATTGAGTGTCAGCTGCTGTCACCACAGTCACTGTGGGATCACAGATAACATACTGAAATCAGAACCGGGATAGTAACGTATGTGCCACAATGTGTGATGAAAACAGATCGAAGCCCCTCAGATCGCTCCTTCAAGTTGGCTGCTTAGTCCATATGCCATCCTGCCTGCCAGATAGCAGAGTTCCCAGGCTGCGATGCACCAATTTAATGCTCTTTATTCAGAAGTAGGAAAAGAGAAGACTCTGGGGGCCAGCAGGTGGCATGGTGGTTAAGGTGCTGGACTCCCACATGGCTGACTATGGTTCGAGTCCCAGACCTGGTGGCTTGCTTTCTCACAAGGGAAAGCCTCTCTTTATCTTGTTCTGTCTAGTGAGTGCATGTGCCCTACAGCAAATTAAAAAATAATAATAATACTAAATAAAGTTAAATAATTCTAAAAAAATTTAAAAAGAAAAGAGAAGACTCTCTAAAAAATCAGGAACTGGGCTGGCTTATAGTCGTAGTGGTTAAGGGAGCCAGATCCCATGTGACTGACCACAGTTTAAATCTTGGCCCCAGTGGCTTAAAAGACATGCTGGGCACATGAACATCTGTACCCCAAATCCTGACAGGATGGAGACAAGGAGGAAAAGGGATTATGGTGTGACCACATCCCACTGGGAGGTGCTTTCTCCCTCCTTCCCTCCCTCTCCCTCTGTCTCTGGCAAGCCTATGTGCACTCTAGCCATTATTATTATTATTTTTTTCAGAGCGTGATTTTTGCTATAGGGCATGCGCACTCACTGGAGTGACAGAGACCCAAAGAAAGGGAGAAATCGCCCTCTAGAGGGGATGCCAGCACCGCAGTTTCTTCTCCATTCTCCTCTCTGGAGCTTGGCAACGCACACACGTGTTCCTGGTGTGAGCTTGAAGCCACCTGGTCCAGGACTCGAACCATGGTCAACTATGTGGGAGTTCAGTGATATAACCATTATGCCATCTGCTGGTCCCAGCAATTAAAATTTTTAAAGAAAGATCATGAATTGTTTGAAGAAGGTTTAATTAACACTCCAAACAGATCTTTGTATCTCCTGCACTCTTCCCAATGTAGGAGGGTCTTCCCTACCCCAAGCGAGTGGGACCTGGTCACTTGATGTCTCTGTTAGCTGATTGCTTAGCAGTTGAGGACTGGAGTGAACTGCATTCTCGTCCTTTAGGGCTGTTAAAGTCTGATGAGTCATTTGTACTTTCGTTTTGCAATTAGATTCTTTTTCATTGAATATCTGTCCAGAAATTAGATGTAATGAAAGAAATGAGAATTTGTTGTTTGGGAGAGAAATGAATAATTTTGAAATGCACAGTGTTTATTTCCACTGTCAATAGAGACTTTTCAGTGCAATGTCAGGCAGCCTGACCTCATTGGGGATGGGCCAAGGAACAAAGAGACAAGTCCGAGCTGCATCTTTTCAGTGTTACCGCTTAGCGTTAGCTTACCCGCGTGGTTTTTGATGAAGTAAGCTTTTGGGGGTCAAACTAGGAAGATAACCGTTTATTATACTTTACGTGGACTGATACATTCCAGATTCCAAGTAATGAAAAGCATAAATATCCCTCAAATGGTTTTATAATGCATGCCCTTTGGAGACAAAGTAGAAGGTACTAGCATTGTAAATTCAGAAGAATTTTTTTTTAATTGAAGGTTGTAGCATGGGAGAAATCAGGGAAAAAAAAAATAGAATTTGAACTGGATATTCCTTTTCTTTGTTTGAACAGCAGGAACGTAAAGAGGTTAAATAAAGGTGTGAAAGTGAGGATTGGTGTAAGATCTAAAGCAAAGTAAAAAATAGTAGAAAGTGAGATTGACCAGGTAGTGTTTTAACTATCTGGCTGAAAAGTCTGAACCTTTTCCTAGGGGAAAGGATTTAATGCTTACTACCTTATTTTGCAAATACAACTATGAATTAGTCTCCTTTTTCAGCATAAGATAATTTTATGACATTTCATGCTTTTAATGGGTTAAGTGGAGTTCTTTTTTATTTTTATAGAGTCTGAGGTTAAAAATTGGAGAAATTTCGTACTCTTAAAATCATTTTAGATGACAGACTCTCCTTAGGGCTGGCTCCAGGACCGTAGTCCAGCTCTACTAAGCCTTGTCATAATGAGTTCTATAGCCCTTGAATTTCGAAGGGGAAGAAACCTCCAAAGGACTCTCATTAAGTATGACCTAGGTTTAAGTTTTTGGTATAGGGTGTTACACTTGCTGGAGAGAGAGGAAGGGAGAGGGAAAGTGAGAAATCACCCCCTGGGGGCATGGGCATGCTGCAGTTTCTACTCCATTCTCTGGGGATTTTGGGATTTGGGGCACCCTAGCACATGTGCCTAGCACTCTTCTCCACTCTCCTCTTGGGATCTTGGGCACGCACACACATGTGCCTGCTATGAGTTTTAAGCCACCAGGTCCAGGACTCAAACCTGGCTAACTCTACAATTTTAGAGTCCTGACTCAGTTTCCAAGCCATCAACTCCGAAGTCAGCCACGTGGGATCCAATGCCTTAACCTTCACATTGCTTGCTGGTTGATAGATCCAGTACCTTTTTTTAAAATTTTAAATGTGTTTATTTTACATTCATTCACTGAACATCATCATAGCATACAAAATGTGATTTCCTACCCAGAGTACATTGTATAGTGGCTTAATCATACATGTTATCATCAAATAATTTTCCATTTCTTGTTTTATATATTTTTTTTTTAAAATATATATTTTTAAAATCTATATATGTATTCCCTTCCCCATTGCTCTCCTTCTGCCATTTCCCACCCTCCTCCTGTACTCTCTCAGGTATGTACAATTGCTTTCCATTCCTCCCCTCCCCCACATTTTATTGATTCACAAAATATCTTAATTAATCTAGCTACTTTCAATAGCAAGTTCAGCTAATGTATACATATCTATGAACATGTCTGACTTTCGGCATGAGACTCTGTGAGTAGAATGGATATACGTTAAAGTAACATCCAGCTTAGGCTATCTAACTTTCTGTGGTCATTAAATAGGTATTTTTTAATATACTTTTTAATTTCAAAAAAGGTAGTTTTATCTTTTTTTTTTTTTTTGGAGAGGTTTTTGCTATATGGCGCGTGGGCTCACGAGAAAGGAGAGAGACAGAGAGACAGAAAGTGAGAAATCACCCCCCAGGGGGGATGGCCACGCCGCAGTCCCTTCTCCTCCATTCTCCTTTCGGGATCTTGGGCACACACGCACACGCGCCTGGCGTGAGTTTTAAGCCACTGGGTCCGAGACTCGAACCACAGTCGACTACATGGGAGTCCAGCAACATAGCCATTACTCTAACCGCTGGTCCCAAGAAAGGTAGTTTTATCTTTAATAAGTCAAAATCAAAAAATGTTAAGACTTAAAGCCAGGAAACAGGTTAGGATTCTGTTCAAATAGTAGGTACATGAACCTATCAACAGCTCAAGACCAAAGTACCTTAATCTCTTTCTACTTTTTCAGTTCATTTTATAGATGAGAAAGACACTGTTTTCTCTGATCAGTGATATTGAATGGAAGGTAAATAAAGAAAAGAGAAACTGTTGAAAATTTTATAAAAACATGTTATGTAAAGGCAAGAGCTAATCGTATGTAAAATTTCTATACATTTTCCAGGGGAATCCATGTAAAGATAGAGAGAGAGTGTGTGTGTGTAGTACGAAATTTAGAATGACCATGACATGCTACAACTTTCAGTTATTTTAGAATTAATGGCTTTGGGGGACTAGCAATTGGCATAATGGCTATGTCGCTGGACTCCCATATAGTCGACTGCAATTCGAGTCCTGGACCTGGTGGCTTAAACTCATTCTAGGCACGTGTGTGTGTGCATGGCCAAGATCCCGAGAGGAGAATGGAGGAGAAAGGATTGCAGCGTGCCCATCTCCCCTGGGAGGGGTGATTTCTTGCTTTCTCTCTCTCTTTCTCTGTCTTTCTGGCAAGCGCACATGCCCTATAGCAAAAAAAACTCTTCAAAAATAAAAAAGAATTAATGGCTGTTTTTTTTGAGTGATGTCTGGTGGTTATAAAAAGTACAAATTAGGATTTATAAATCAGGATTTTTACAAAAGAATTCTATTGGGCTTTTGGAAAAGTCATGACACATTTTTGCATAGAAAAAAATACATTGTGACTTTTCTGACAACCCAGTATTTCTCTATATCTGAAGTAGATAATGGGCTCAGTTTAAATCCTTATAAGACTTGTGGAACTTAAGCACAAGTGTATTCATTCCAGTGGCTACCATACCCAGTTGGATTTATTTTATTTTTTTTTATTTTTTTATTTTTAGAATTATTTATTTAATTTTATCATTATCATTACTTCTTAATTTGCTGCAGGGCATGCATGCTTACTGGAGAGAGAGAGAGAGAAAGAGAGTGAGCCACCAAGTCTGGGACTCGAACTACAGTCAACTATGTGGGAGTCCAGTGCCCTAACCACCACACACCATCTGCTGGCTCTGGATTTCTCTTTATGACCGATTTAGCTTGTACTTCATTAAAAAGTCTTTTTTTTCTTTAATATAATATGTTTGCAGTCACAGTCAACAAACAGTATCTCCAGATTGATTAAATAATTCCAAGAGTACTTAGAAAAGTTTTGTGTGATTATTTTTCTATTTCTAAATTACCATTTTGATACAAATACCCATGGTTTTCTTCTGTGTTTACATGCAGCCAGGAGCTATGGGCGGAGACGAGGTAAATTTTTTTTTTTAATGAGATCTTTTGCTTGCCAAACTGTTAGTAATATGAATGTGTGTGTGTGTGTGTGTGTGTGTGTGTGTGAGAGAGAGAGAGAGAGTGTGTTTATACCAGCATGTGTGTACAACAATAATGAAAGTAAGATGTGATGTTCTAGTTTGATTATTTTAGAAAAATAATACACTTATCACTTGAATTATAATTACTTTTTGTTGTTAGTAGGTAATTTGTTTTTTAATCTTAATAAAGATACAGCGAAGACTTCTTTACTACCTGGAGGTTTTTGTCTTATGGTTTATTGTGAGTGACTGTGAGGAAATAAGGGCCAGGTTTATGTATTTTCAGCCCCGTGTCTATTGCATTCTTTTCATTCTACTTAGATGGCAGAGGTTGAGTTCTGAAGGGCAGTTCTTGAGTTTACTAGGTTGGCTGGTGAGTTGTTTTGTTTTGTTTTGAGTTTTATCTGGAGACAGCTACATGAAACTTATGTTTCAGGGGCCTTTTCTTGCATAGGCTTCTCCTAGAGGTCCATTTTCCTAAAAATGGACCTCAAAATAGGTTTTCATTCCCATAAAACCTAGTCGCAGATCTCTCCTAGTCACAGATCCCCAAAGTAATAAACTTTCACCTGTGTGGTATTGCAGTCTGGCTAAAGGATTTCCGTGTCTGTAATTTGTTCTGGCAGTTTTACAGAGTACCTAGGAACAGCCCAGTGTGATGGAAAGAGTACGGGGTCGGTCAGACACTTGGATTGTAATCACTGACTTCCTTATCACTTAGATCCGATGTCTTCAGCTGTTATTTATGAGGTAATAAAGCCAGAGTGTCTGTGAAGTTCGAGTTATGAAATAGCTACCCAGGTACATTAGAAGCATTCCACAAATGTTAGTTACTCTGGTACTCACTTGCCGAAGCTAGGAGAAATGAAGTCATTTACTTGCTGTGTGACCTCAGATTAAAGCCAGACCGAGATGAGAATCTGTGTCGTTTGGCTCTTGAGTTACTAATGTTCATTACTCATCAAACTGTTTCTGACTTTATAGTTGAATCATGAAGAGAAGGTAATGATGCTAAATTCATAATATCTTACTGTTTATTCTATAGTAAATATGGACTGAACGAACATGAGCAAAACCTCATATGCATGTATGGTGGAATCGTAGTAACTTTTGTTTTTCGACATTGTGTGGAAAAACATAGCATAGTTGATTTTTTTTAAAGAATTTATTTAATTTTATTTGTTATTATTTTATTCTGACCAGAGAGAGAGAAAGAGAGAGAGAAAAAGGGAAAGGAGAAAGTAAGTCACCAGGTTTGGGAACCCAGTGCCTTTAACCACCATATCACCTGCCGGCCCCAGTGTAGTTGATTTTCTTTTTTAATCAATAGAAATAAACAGCATTAAATTTTTTTTGTCTTTTTTATTTTATTTTTTGAGACAGATTTTTGCTATAGGGAGCGTGTGCTTACCAGAGACAGAGACAGAAAGTGAGAAATCACCCCCGAAGGGAATGGCCACATCCCGTCTCCTCCATTCTCCTCTCGGGATTTTGTATGCATACACACCCAAGCGTGAGTTTCCAGCTGCCAGGTCCGGAACTCGAGCCAAGGTCAGCCATGTGGGAGTCCAGCACATTAGCACTACACTACCTCTCTGGTCCCTGCCTTTCTTATTTTTAAATTTAATAAAGTGAAAGCCTAGAAATGATATCATTACAGATTTTTCTTTATTGCTATAGGGTGTGTGTGCTCACCCAAGTGCGAGAAAGAGAAAGGAAGCACCCCTCCCCTAGTGGGGCATGATCACACTGCCATCTTTCTTCCTCCATTTTTTCACCTGTCAGGATTTGGGGTGTGCGTGCACATGTGCCTGGCATGCTTTTCAAGGTGTTGGATCTGGAATTTGAACCACAGGGGGTCATTGGGACCTGACTCCCATTGTATAGCAGTTAGCTGCTGTGCTGTGGGACTGGCCTCTTAAAAGTCATCTTGTGCCTATTTTTTAACATTGCTCCAAAAATGATCAGTGTCAGAAAGGAATAGGAAATGAACATTTTACATGGAAATCAGACACCACTGGAAGGTGGACAGCTGGGAGCGGCCTGTCCTCTTCTCATGCCCTGCTCTGTCACCAGATCTTAGAGAGATTTCCTCTCCAGTTTCTCAGGTTGGCCCTCAATTCTATTGCTTCCATTTCTACTGCTTCATCTTTATGAAGTGCTTGATCCGTATCACCCTCATTCTCCATGTAGAGTCCCATGGTCCAGCCCCTCCCTGTTTCATCAGCCCAGTCACCTTCGTTCCCCTACCTCATCATCTCCTGACCAGCCCACGTCCTTTCCTGTGTCTGGCCATTGCAAGTCCTGACAACTCTGTCTCATGTACTTATCTAAGGCCTAGCCTTACTCTACCAGGTCAAGAATGGTTCAAGCCTTCCCCTTTGCAGGAAGCCTTGCCCTGTGTCCTTGCAGACACTGCTCTCCTCTCTCAGGCTACCTCGCCTTCTTCCTGTCTCCTGATTGTCCTGATTCTTCAACTCCCAGATGTGCTCTTTGAGGAAAGTCATCTCTTAGACATAGCATCGTCCCTTATCAAATGTTTCTTGATTAGAATTATTTTAAAGTAATACCCACACATCCATGCACAGCAGACTTCAACATCATCTTGTTTAAAATTTGTTTTTAGGGACCAGCAGTTAGCGTAATGGCTATGTTTCTGGAGTTCCATGTAGTCAACCGTGGTTTGAGTCTCAGACCCGGTGGCTTGAACTCACGCCAGACATGGGTGTGTGCATGCCCGAGATCCCAAGAGAAGAATGGAGGAGAAGGGATTGTGGTGTGGCCATCCTCCCCGGGGGTGATTTCTCATTTTCTGTCTCTCTGACTTTCTGGCAAGCGCACACGCCCTATAGCAAAAACCTCTCCCCCCCCAAAAAAAAAAAAATCGTTTTTATATAAATGATAGCATATTAGATACTAGACATCAAGAATATAAAATCACTTGTAGTTTCTAAGCTCCTGAAAGAACAATTACTCTTTGTCCATGTTACCTTTTTTTTTTAAAGAATTATTTTATTTATTCATTCATTTATTTTAATTTGATCAGAGAGTGACACAGAGAGAGAGATAGGGAAAGTGAGAAAGCAAGCCACCAAGTCCAGGACTTGAACCATGGTTGATCATGTGGGAGTTTCCATTGCCTTAACCACCACACCACCTGCTGGCCCCTGTCCATGTTACCTTTTCCCTACCCATTTGCAATATTACATTTCATTGTTTTTGAAAGCCACAGTCTTCTTTACATCAAGTGTTATGCTAATTACTAGAATGACTTGGTTCTTGCTTGCTATAAGCCTGCAGTTTGAAAGTTGTAGATGAAGGGACCAGCAGTTGGTGTAATGGCTATGTCGCTGGACTCCCATGTAGTTGCCCACAGTTCGAGTCCCAGACTTAGTGGCTTAAACTCATGCTGGCTGCCTGTGTGTGTGTGCCCAAGATACCGAGAGGAGAATGGAAGAGAAGGGCCTGTGGTGTGGCCACCTCCCCTGGGGGGTGATTTCTCTCTCTTGGTCTGTCGCTCTCTGTCTTTCTGGCGAGTGCACATGCCCTATAGCAAAAACCTCTCAAAAAAAAAAAAATAGAAAGAAAGAAAGAAAGAAAATTGTAGATGAAGAGAATGACGGAAGAGTGTTTGCGGATGTGTGAATCTGTGGATGTAAGAGTGGAAGGAGAACTAAAAGACTGAGTGTTGGCTTTCCGTCATGAAAGAACAGGCAGAATATGTTTGGTTCTTCCTTTCTCTCTCCTTTCCTTCTTTCCCTCTCCCTTCCTCCCGTCCTTCTTCCAAAGGACACATTTGCTGTGTATACGTGAGAAAGAGAGAGATACAGGGCAGAGGGAAAGAAAGGAAGTACCTGCCCAGTGAGACCTAGTTACACTGCAATCCCTTCTCCTCCTCTTCTCCATTCTGTCAGGATCCTGGGCACACATGCAGCACACTGAGTGGTTTTCAAGTTGCCAGGCTGGAACTCAAACCCAGGTTAGCTATGTGCAATCTGTCTTAACTATGGTGCTACAGAGCTGGCCAAACCCGAGCTAGCTATGTGGGGTCTGTCCTCTGCCTAGTGTTTAACTACTACACTGCAGAGCTGGCCAGAGGGCCATGCTTTTATTTAGTCTTCCATCTCCAAAGCTGAAAAAGAAGAGAGGTCATTGTGTTTGGTATATAATGACTTAGCCATGTTGGATGGGGCCAGGTGTGCCTCAAGTCTAGCACTGTCATTTCATGAGCTATATTCATTGGGGCCAACCTTGCATAGTGTAATTTTGGTAAACTGGCAGATTTTCTTAATACTTGTTTATTAACATGATCAGGGATTAAATTTTATTTATTTATCTATTTTATCTATCTATAGAGAAATTTTTGCTGGTGGGCACTTGTGCTTGCTGGAGAGATAGACAGAAAGTGAGAAATCACCCCCCAGGGGGGATGGCCATGCCACAATCCCTTCTCCATTCTTCTCTCCAGATTTTGGGCACACACGTACATATGCCCAGCGTGAGTTTTAAGCTACTGGGTTCGGGATTCGAACCTCATTCGACTACATGGGAATCCAGCGACATAGCCGTTATGTCATTTGCTGGTCCCCAAATTTTTTTTCTTTGGTCAGGGATTAAAATAATGCTTGATCCCTTTCCTCCAATTAAGATTTAGAATTGCCCAAAAAAGGATAAAAAGTAAACTTGCTGATGTATGTTTATGAGTAGAACTTCTACCTATGTTTAAAAATAGAACTTTAGGGGCCAGCAGGTGGCATGGTGGTTAAGGGTGCCGGACTCCCACATGGCCAACCAGTTTGAGTCCCAGACCTCGTGACTTACCTTTCTCACTTTACCCCACTCTCTCTCATTCTGTTCCTCTCTGTTCAAATTATAATAAATAAATAAATAAATAAATAAATAAATAAATAAATAAAGTTAAATAAAATAATTCTTTGA